TGAATAAAATGTAAAAAATTAAAAAGGTCATAGTTTTGCTTATAATAATTATTACATTAAGTGAAACTAAAAAAAAAACACCTCAAAATAGATTTACATATCAGTTCTGGCTGCTAATTGCCTCATATGTCCAGGATCTAAATTACTTTCTGTTAGTTACCATTAACACTACACCAAACCAATCCCTAACCCTATGTCAACACTGCCTCTAGCCCTATGCTTACACTAACTCTAACCATACACCTACCCTAACCTTACCCCTAACTTTAATCTTATACTAACCCTAGTAGAACATTAACCCAAAGCCCAGAATTAACCCTTGTCTTAGCGTATCCTTTACATACATTACCCTAACCATAATCCTATCCTAACACTAAATGTGCCCTAACACTTACCTAACGTTAACCGTGGATCGAAGGGATTCCCTCTGCTAATGTCAATACAGACATCAGGAGAGGGATTTCCCATTTCACACAGCAGAGATTGCCCTGTGAGTGCCCTCTGAAAAGAGGCTTGCGTCCATCAAGTTCAGCCTTCCTCACATTTGTTTTTTGTTGTTGATCAGTTTAAAAGCACTTCCAATTTTGCAACAATCTAGGAAAAAAATCCTTATTGACCCCAGAATGGCAGTCAGACATATCCTTGGATCAAGCAGTTATTACCCTACATTGAAAGATTATATCCTTGAATATTCTGTTTTTGCAAGTATGCATCTAGTAGCTGTTTGAACATCTGTATTAAATATGATAAAACCACTTCTTCTACCCCACTAATTCTACCCCACTAATTAAAAATGATAACCTTGAATGTTTTTACAAGTGTTCATCCAATTGCTATTTTAAACTTGGAGAAAACCATCTTTTCAGGCAGAGAATTCTTATTGTTCTTACAGTAAAAAAACTTTCCTTTGCCTTAGACGAAATCTTCTTTCTTTCAGTCTAAATGCATGAACTCGTGTCCTATGTAAAGTCCAGTTTGTGAATAGATTTCCACACAATGATTTGAATTGGCCCCGAATATATTTGTATAATGTTATCATATCCCCTCTCAGGCAACGTTTTCTAAACTAAATAGGTTTAAATTTGTTAACCTTTCTTTATAGCGGATATGTTCCATTCCTTTTATTAATTTTGTAGCCCGCCTCTGCACTTTTTCTAGTGCCATAATATCCTTCTTTAGAACAGGTGCCCAAAATTGCACAGCATATTCAATATATGGTTTTACCAGTGATTTATAAAGAGGCAAAATTATATTCTCATCCCGAGAATGAATGCCCTTTTTCATTCATGACAATACCTTACTGGCCTTAGCCACTGCTGATTGATATTGCACATTGTTGCATAGTTTGTTGTCTATAACAATTCCCAAGTCCTTTTCGTGTGTGGTTATCCCTAATTCACTTCCATTAAGGGTTTACGTTGCTTGTGTATTCTTTATGCCGAAGTGCATAACTTAGCATTTTTCGACATTAAATTTCATCTGCCATTTGAGTGCCCAGTCTCCCAGTCTATCTAAATCCCTCTGCAGCAAAGTAATATCTTGCTCACATTGTATTATTTTACAGAGTTTTGTGTCATCTGCGAACACTGAAACATGACTTTCAATGCTTTTTTCAAGATCATTTATAAGCATGTTAAATAGAAGGGGTCCCAGAACAGAACCCTGAGGGACACCACTTGCCACCTCTGTCCAGCTTGAAAATGTACCATTAATGACCACTAGTGATGTCGCGAACATAAAATTTTCGGTTCGCGAACGGCGAACGCGAACTTCCGCAAATGTTAGCGAACGGGCGAAACGGGCGAACCGCCATAGACTTCAATAGGCAGGGGAATTTTAAAACCCACAGGGACTCTTTCTGGCCACAATAGTGATGGAAAAGTTGTTTCAAGGGGACTAACACCTGGACTGTGGCATGCCAGAGGGGGATCCATGGCAAAACTCCCATGGAAAATTACATAGTTGATGCAGAGTCTGGTTTTAATCCATAAAGGGCATAAATCACCTAACATTCCTAAATTGTTTGGAATAACGTGCTTTAAAACATCAGGTATGATGTTATATCGATCATGTAGTGTAAGGGTTACGCCCGCTTCACAGTGACAGACCAAACTCCCCGTTTAACGCACCGCAAACAACCGCAAACAGATGCGGCTCTCTAATTAGGCGGTTTAGGCGGCCGTCTAAGGCCTCTCGCGGCCGCCTAAACTGCCTTATGGCAGACTGTGTCAGGACCTGACACCAGGAGGGGACCCGGCGGCTTGCCCGGTATGCCGCCGGGTGCGAGGCCCCTCCTGGCTGCCCGGCCACCATCGCAGACACAGGTCTGCAGCTCTGCAGTGAGCAGAGCTGCAGACCATGTGTCTCGCGAGAATTGGCCAATCAGAGCGGTGCCGCGGGTTACCACGGCAACGCTCTGATGGTCTTGCGATATTACACGGTCTGCAGCTCTGCGGAGCTGCAGACCGGAAGAAGTGGCCACTGGACCACAAGGGAAGAGAAGGTAGGCTCCCTCACCACCCTCAGCCTCCGCTCCACCAGCCTCACCACCCTCAGCCTCCCCCACCAGCCTCCCCACCCCCCCACCAGCCTCACCACCCTCAGCCTCTCCCCACCAGCCTCACCACCCTCCCCATCCCC